GAACACACGGCCGGTCTAAGGTTTTATGAGGCCCGAGGGAGAGTTTCATGTGTGGGGTCCATTACTCCAAAACACACAGACTTTGCCAGATCCGTTTTCTTTCTTAATCAAATATCAACAACAGAGTCGAGAGTCTAAAGATCAACTTTATGAAATTACAAGAGATTACAGCTACTAGAAAAGAAGGAGAAAAAGAGAATAAATTATGTATTTTATTTTGCAAATCAGAATGCACCATGAAGCCACTTGTGCATCTTTAAAAATAAAAACAAATAATTCAAGATGTCTTAGAAAGTCAGCTCAACTCAGTCTCTTTGTTAGTTGCACCGATTGGGCCAGTTTTGCCAGAAGCACTGCTTTCTTTCTTTTTTTTTTTTTTTCATTTTTATATGGCAGAGATTCAACAAGATGTTGAAAACATCCCTCAGAGGTTTTGGTCCTTATTGCTGCAGATTTTGCGGCTGGACATCTCAGATGTGTATCTGGAGGCCAGTGGATACGCAGTGGACTCCGTAATAATACTGAGCGACGCCGTGGCCTTTAAATTATTCTCAGTTTGTCCTAATAGCGTGTTTTCTGAAAATATCGCAGCAGCCAGGACCGCTGCCACAAGGCAGTGTGGAGAGCTACTTTTGTGCTGTTAATGCCAAATTCTGACCCAATCGCCTTGATTGTTGCAGCTGAAACCGGACCAGGCAATGTTTCTCCAATCTGTTGTTTTCCCATTGTCCTCAGCATGTGGAAACTGTTGCCTTGATTACAGTGTTCACATGTGTGAACACTGTAAGCACATCTGCTTCCAGGTTCAGAGGACGTAATCTGTGCACGTTGGTCGTCCAGATTATTTTACCTTCTGACATCCTCCATATTTTTTTTTTTTTTTTTTTTTTTACACAGCCTAATGGTGCATGTTGTCAATTATAAATATATCACAAAAAATTCCTAGTTTTGAAGCATATTGCAAGTGTGAAACCACCATCTTCAACTGGTGATTCTCCATAATTTTGAAAAAAAAAAAAAAAAGTAACAATAAATCTGCTGCTGTAATTGCAATTTTTGGCCTAAATGTTTGTGATATAAGGGCGGGGCCATGAATGAGTTAAATAGATTTAGAAAGAAGTACTTTAAAAAAACAAAAGGAGAGTACTGGTATAGATAAATTGATAAATAAATACAAAAGTAAATATTGTGACTCAGAAAGTTGACTTTTGCTCTCTTATGTCTAACAGGTTGTCTGACCAGAAGAGACCAACTTCCTTTAAATGTGGCAATTCTTCAAGCTCACATTCTGCATTTAAAATGATTGTGTTTTGTGAAAACACGCTCGTTCTGGCTCGTGTCACTTCTCCCCCTTTTCCCACACAGTGGGGTTATTGTTGGAAAAACTACATGACATCATGACAGCGCATATAAATAAGCGCGCCATTTTTGGCACACAGCGCGTGTCATGTCTGTGCCTTTAAGCTTTTCTGGTGTCATTTTACGGTGTTAAGTGTCAGGCGGGCCATTTTAAGGCGTTAGAATGACGTTCAGAAAGGTTTCGGGGTGGGGCGAGGCTTTAGGGTGGGCGTCCTTCCTCGAGGCTGCAGCGTCAAATATTAACATGACGAGAAAAAAGGAAAAGAATGTTGACGAAACCAAATTATGAGACCCAGACAAGTTAGGAGAAAGGAAAAGCAGAAAACAAACGAATAAAAGATGGATTATTGCTGCCTAAAACTGCGTTAATACTTATTATCTGTTGCTGAAAGTTAGGCAAAAGCTCTCTTTGTTAAATTCAGCCGCGCATTACTCACAAACAGGGAACGACAGACGGGGAAACACAAGCCCACAAGCACGCGCGCGCGCGCGAATACACACACACACACGCACGCACACACACACACACACACACACACACTCCAATGCCAGTGTTATAGCGCTGGAATTGTGGAGTTCACGGCTTTGCGGCCCGCATGGGGCTGCAGCTCCCTTGCAGGTTTACAGCATGTCGTTTCCCCCTGCGCGTCTTCCAGCGTCATCACTCCCCCAAGGGCGGCGCCGTTGGCCGGTGCAGCGTCAAAGGCTTCTGACTTTAGGACGGCGTGAAAGCGCGAACATGTTTCTGACGACGTGTTGTGAAGCGCGACCATCACATCTAATTCACCCAACCCAAGAAAATGTATTTACTTAATTTATTTCTTTTGTTTAATGTGTTCTCCAAACTTTTAATGCATCTGGGTGACAACATAAATGCCTTTGCAACCCCTCTGCGACTTACCCAAAAGTAAACCATAGATTAGTTTATCGATTGAAGCATCAAGCCAGAACCATTAATGCTTGCAATCCTGACCTGTCACTGACTTGTGTTACACCAACATTCATAATCAAATAAAACAAAAGAATGCAGATTATCATTAATCAAATTAACTTTAAATAACTTGTCTTCAAATGCTGCGATTTCAGGAAAACGGTTGACTTTTTTTTTCCTGTATGTATAATCAGCGATGAGTTGCACTGATATTTCCCAATATTTGATGGATATTGCAAAAGAGATCCCGACCAGTGCTGATCAGATAAGTGGTGCTTCACCGCCACCGTGTGGCCGATTGACGCATCTGCAAATAGCAGAACAAACTCTTGGAACATCTTTGCACTGTTGAAGCGTTGACTGACTGAGACGATCCGCGTCGATCTAGAAATGATCTGTCATCCATGCAAAGTCAATTTAATGAACTTTTGCTTATTTGCAGGAGGCGGAAGACTGCATGAAGCTTTTTCTCCCTCCAGTCACAAGATTTACATATGGCATTCTCTTCGAAATCTCATGGATTTTATTTTTTAATTTAAACGTTTGTGCACTGCAGAGACTTTAAAGTGGACGATCATGGAAAAAAAAAAGAAGCTCCTGTCAGTTGTCATAAACATCAGGTGCATTATTTGTGTAAAGTAACGCTATTTCGTTTTGGCATTGTAAATTAATTTATATGAAAATTCTAATGTATATACATTCTAATTTTGTAATTTTCAAATGTCATTTTGTTATGCTTGCAATTCAATGTGTACCTTGATTTTTCTTTTTTCTTTATTTCTATTTTTTGTAGGATTTTGTTGTTGTTTTGCAACCAGCTTTAAACAAAAAATCTCCTGGAGCCGTACTGTGCCAACATGCATGGCATGCATTCACTGTAACTTTTTAAATGTAATAAAATACATATATTTTTCTAATTTAAACACAGATCCAAATGTATCTCAGGTGCTTTTTTTTTTTTTTTTTTTGAAAGGAATTACTGTGAGTAAAATATCATCATGCCTCTAGTTTTATTATTTCTGCTGGTGCATCAGAGTCTGAACAAGAACTTGACATACAGATCCATTTGAATGCATTATGAAATGTTCATGTACTTCAGTAATTCAATATAGAAAGTGAAACTCACTTAGATTAATTACAAGAATTATGCATTTCTCTTCATTTTGATAATTATGACTTACACTTTTTCAAAATCTCCCAAAGTGGCTTTCTCAGCATGACATAACAAAAATAAAACTACTTCTAATACAGAAATATCAGCTTTCGGATATGCATGACCACCTATCTTGATGCATTACAGCGTGGAGGGGGTCAGTCTGTGGCTCTGCTGATATGTTCAGGAAGCCCAGCTTGCTTTAATTGTGAACTTCAGTTTGTCTTTGTTGTTGGCTCTGGTGTCTCTCATCTTCTCTGGTCAGTTTTTGGGTGACCAGTGAAGCCTAAAGCAGATGTTGGTACTTCCTGCAGCCTGGTTCGGTTCAAGTCCTGCCGAAAAAACAACAACAACAAAAAAAAAACAAGAAACTTGTATCTCCACAAATCATAATGAGGACATGTCATTAATTTCCTGCCTGATGACTGAGAGCTGACTCTGGGCCTGTGGAAACAAACCAGCAGAAACCCCCCACTGGACCTCAACCAATTAGAATTTTGTTCCTCTCCATTTTTCACCTGCAGCGTAGTACCTTGATTTCCAAAATAAATGCAAAATACACTCAAGAGCAAGGAATGGCACAGTTGTAGCCAATATCCTGTGGTGTCAATGAGTCACAAGCCTCTGTGAAATTAAATAAGTGAATAGAAAATGTCAAGTTGCCTAAATCGATTTAATAGATGAAAATTATTTTTGGACTTAATTACCGAAATAAATGAACTTTTCGATGAAGCTCAAACTGACTGAGATGCATCTGTATAAAGTCAATGTTTGTAACAGCTTTGGTGTCAAACGATAGAAAAAAACAACCTCACAGTGACGTCATAGTGTCAGGTCGACATATTTTAGCAAAAAAAAAAAAAATGATTCAAAGTTTGATTCTGGAATTTTTTTTATTTCAATTTTTGATTTTAGTTTTGAAGCTTCGTTCAGAAAGTTTTGAGTCAGATTGATCTGGGGAACATTTTCTGGTTTTCAGGGCAGGAGCCATGATTTTCGCTCTCCGTGGTCCTGAAAGTCTTTTGCGTCCTCTGCAGAGCGTTTCCCCTCATCTTCGCGAGAAATGCAACGATATTCTTTCAATTAAGAAAAAAAAAAAAAAGACACACACACACAAAAAAACAACAACAAAACAAGCAAACAACCAAACAAATACTGACGTGCTCCAGTCAGCATCGACAAAACAACAACAACAACAACTGTGTATACAGGTCGGCTGCAACATCCCGCACAGCCGATCGGGATGTTTTATTCCATGCTTCCTCCGAGCACAGATCCAATCCGACGCTGTGGGGTTGATCTGTTTGTGCTCGCAGTCTGCAGTGCTGGCACACAGGCGCTCCTGTTTTTTGTGCTGTGTGGAGAACTTCTGGCGGCGTCCTTTAGCGGAGCCGGTCTGCATTGCGTCGAAACCCTCCAACTCCTCCCCTCCTCCACCTCTTCCTCCTCCTCCCTCCTCACCCTCACCTCCCCCCCCCCCCCCCCGCCCCACGCAGCGCCCCCTCCCCACGCCCCCTCCCTCCCCCCTGCTTCCTCTCATACTTGCATGTTAAATTATCAAGCCAAACATGCTTGACATTGCTGGGAAACCGTGCGGGCGTCGATGCCGCAGCACTCGTCTCGTTTCTCAGCTCTGATTTTTTAATTGTGTGTTGTATTTTTTATTTCTTATATGAAAAAAAAAAAAAAAAAATCGCGTTCACCGTCCTGCGCCGGAGCACATCCTGCCCGTCATCTCGTCTTGTGGCAGATTTCTGCTGATGCAGGGATGTCTGGGAATGCCAAGGGCTCGGTTATTGCCCCTTAATGCATCTCTCTCCGAGCTGCAGCGCCACATCTCCTCCTGCGGTTTGCTCATATGCCGTTCGCTCTGCTCACCGCCGTGCCGCTGCCAAAGCAACCTTGGGGCTTTGCAGCACAGCAGTTCCCCTCTTTTCGCTCTTTTGTTTATTTATTTACAATTTTTGTTGGTTTTTCTTCCCCCACCACCTCTCGTCTTTGAATTACGCAGCTCTCCTCTCCGACTCGTCGTATTTTAAGATTGCAGCTTAGATGACTCGCTCCTCCGGGTGCCAGGCTGGTGCAACTTAAAAGTTTCACACCTTAAAAGCCTCTGCTGCTGCTGCTGCTGCTGCTGCTGCTGCTGGTGGTGCTGCTGCTGCTGCTCTGGTGTTGGATGATTCTGCTCAAAGCTGTTCAGGACTTCTCAAGATCAAACCACGGTAAGCCTCTTAAAACTGAATACAAAAGTTTATGTATAGAGCTTTAGAGCTGTTTCGTTCCCCAACCCCCCCTGACCCACCACCTTGCAAGACTAACACACTGCTGCAGTGCTGTGCCCCTTGCTTTATCCATTTGCAAATTGCCACTAGCTTCATAGGGCTAAAGGCATGCAGAAACTGTACGAGAAAGAGGAAAAAAAAAATATATATATATATAAATACAATGGCTATGCGTCACAGTCCAACTCAGACTGGTGAGTGTGGCGGAGCATAAATCGCTGCCTTAAGACAAGCTAAAACAAACATTCCTGCAGAGACATGATGTGACATGAGGACATCATGCTACCTCTCCAACCAAAACAACAGAGTTTTTCTTTCTTTCTTTCTTTCTTTTTTTTTATTTTTTGGCTTGAAAGCCTTAGAGAATCGAAGGACAGACTCTGAAGTTGCACATAGAGCTAAAAATGTTTTCCCCTCTTTGAAACAGGATTGAGAAATTCTTGTTGAATGAGATGTGTTTTGCCATCATTACTAACTGCTTTAATTGCAGCCCCCAGGGAAGAAGATGACTAAATAAATAAATAACTAAACTGCAGAAAGTGCTGAGCCAGCAAAATATCTCGGCTGTTTGATTCCATTATCTCCTCCGTCCCTCCCTCCTTCTCTCTTTGGTTGACAGAAGCAGCAGCAGCGACTGCTTCACATGCACTGGGGAGCTGCAATGGTCAAGTCAGCGAGAGCCGCAGTGGAGCCGCACTGAGGCAAAGCAGCCAACCGCCCCCCCCACTCGCAACTGGGGACGCCTCCAACGATCTGTGGGGTGTGGGAAGCTGAGGAGTGGAAAAATTTCTCCCAACCGTGAATGCCTGGCCAGTCAGACTAACCGACACCCCTCCGCGATTCCTGCTCTGTCTCTTGCTCCGCTGCGTCCTCTTTCCCCCCGAAAATGACCGTTGTGGCGGGGGACAACATGGACGAGACCTCAGCCGTCCCGGGACACCCTCAGGACACCTACCCCCCGGATCACAATGACCACGAGTGTTGCGAGAGAGTGGTCATCAACATAGCTGGCCTCCGGTTCGAGACGCAGTTGAAAACTCTGTCACAGTTTCCAGAGACTTTGCTCGGTAACCCCAAAAAGCGGATGCGGTACTTTGATCCCCTGAGAAATGAATACTTCTTTGACCGGAACCGGCCCAGCTTCGATGCAATCTTGTACTACTACCAGTCAGGGGGCCGGCTAAGAAGGCCGGTAAACGTGCCATTGGATATGTTCTCAGAAGAAATCAAATTTTATGAGCTGGGAGTGGACGCGATGGAGAGGTTTCGTGAGGATGAGGGTTTCATCCGAGAGGAAGAGCGTCCGCTGCCTGAGAAGGAGTTCCAACGTCAGATCTGGCTTCTTTTCGAGCATCCAGAAAGCTCAGGCACCGCAAGAGGGATCGCCATTGTGTCTGTGATGGTGATCCTCATTTCCATTGTCATATTTTGTTTGGAGACTCTACCACAGCTGAAAGAAGACCCGATGGGTCGAATCGAGACATACGGGAACATTACAATACGCATCAAACCAAATATTCTTACTGACCCCTTCTTTGTCATTGAGACTCTCTGTATAATTTGGTTTTCGTTTGAGTTGATAGTACGCTTCATGGCATGCCCCAGCAAACCGGCCTTCTTCAAGAACATGATGAACACGATTGACATTGTGGCCATTATCCCATATTTCATTACACTCGGCACCGAGTTGGCAGAAGACCCAGAAAACGAAGGGGTGGGGGAGCAAGCGACTTCTCTGGCCATTCTCAGGGTGATCCGTCTGGTCAGGGTGTTTCGGATCTTCAAGCTATCGAGACACTCCAAGGGACTTCAGATCCTGGGGCAGACCCTTAAGGCCAGCATGCGAGAGCTGGGATTGCTGATCTTCTTCCTGTTCATTGGAGTCATCCTATTCTCCAGCGCCGTCTACTTCGCCGAAGCCGAGGAGCCAGATTCTCACTTCGGCAGCATCCCGGACGCCTTCTGGTGGGCCGTCGTGTCCATGACAACTGTGGGTTACGGGGACATGGTCCCAGTCACTATCGGGGGCAAGATTGTCGGATCTCTGTGCGCGATCGCTGGAGTCTTAACAATTGCCCTCCCAGTGCCTGTCATTGTATCCAACTTCAACTACTTCTACCACAGAGAGACGGAGGGAGAGGAGCAGGCCCAGCTTCTCAATGTCAGCAACCCCAACATCCCGTCCGAAACCAACTCCAGCCGCCGTAGCTCCTCCACCGTCAGCAAGTCAGAGTACATGGAGATTGACGGAGACATCAACAATAGCATCGACAACTTTAGGGAGGCGAACCTTAGAACTGGAAATTGCACTATCGCCACTCAGAACTGTGTGAACAAAAGCAAGCTGCTCACAGATGTTTAGGCATCGGCTAGGAACTCTTGGTCGTTCGTGTCACACGGGGAGTAGACCATCTGATAGGAATGCTTCATTTAGCTCCCAGAGCGCTCTACTGGCATTAGGCCTACAACTATCCTCAGCCGGAAAAAAAAAGAAGAGAAAAAATACACAGTTGTTACAGTATATACCAATGTAGATAGAATAATTAATTTTACTGATCCAATAACTATAATGTTAAGAAAACATTGATTACTACACATATACACAGCTCCTTAGAGGACACAGAGCACACCTTGTCTTGTCAGATGATGGTGTGATAACTAAAAATCTTATGCATGCACTACAGATAACTGATCAGCAAGCTGCACAATGCACCAGAAATGACTGCAGACATTCAAGCCTCTAAGCCAGGTGGTTTCCGCCAAGAAGGTAGATGACCCCCCCACCCTCCACCCCAAACCCTTCGCCTCCCCGCTCCCTCAACCCCTTTCCCTCTCCCCCTGCAAAGGATCTGCTACTCAGCAAAGCACCTTATAGTAGGAAGACTGCTCTTCTCTCTTGTTTTTGGATGTAAACAGATGGTGAACTGCTTGCTTCACGGACATCTGCAATGCTGCCGTTCACGCAGCAGCTGCCGTAATTGTGTTATCACCAAGTGATCCGATGCCATGCCCTTTAGATGCATCACAGCACAACTTGTAAAAGTGAGCTTCATGCGAGCATGATTTTAGAGACTTTCCATTTGATACCGGCATGCATGAGGCATATGTCACAAAGTAGGGGAAAGGATGTTCTTTTGGATGTCTGCCTCCATTTCCCACTTCTCCCTATGTTGCCATACAAAGTGCACTGGATGAGTTCTTTTTCTTTTGAACTGCTAATCATTTAGAAGTATAGAAACTGAATGTTAACTCTTAAGGGAACAGTACATAAATGAGATCATAGCATGAAAAAAAAAAGTAACTTGCATTATGGCCTAACCACTAAGGTACTTCTGTATCCTGGTATATTTAATGTACGACGTATACAGCATGATGTATACGGTTTGTCGCGGTTCATGCGTTTCGCGGTTTCCCCGTCGTCGGGGAAACTGAGGGAATCGAAAAATCTGGGTCTTTCTGAATTGTGATCAGATTTACAGCAATCCAACTTTTAGGCTGCGGAGTTTCTCACTTAAGAGTAGACAAAGAAAGTTACTAAGTAATATTGGAAAATGCATATAATCATTATAAGCACCAGTTACAGTATTAGTCAATAGAGGAGTGCATGGACCTTCTTTGAGAACAAAAACAGTTGATATATATTTTCAGTCATTTCTTGTTTTTAGTTTTCTTTTCTTCAACCACAAAGTTTAGTAGGAAAACCCCCCCCAAAAAAACGAGTCCACAGAAAAGAATCATGTTTCATAGACGTATTCTGAGATTAGTTTCCAGTGCCTTTTATCCCTTCCACCAACAGGATCAGTGAAAGTGCCTCAGTGTGCAAACGGTGTTTGGGCAGATCCGGTGTATATCAGTGTCAAACATTGCAGGGTGTGATGTTAGCCAATGCTAGCTGAAGTGAGGTTCACACAGCAGGTGACTGTGGTACGTGCACAACCAAATGTTCGTGCTGGCATGCGTTTAATGATGCCATTAAGCTGCAATGGATTGTTCTCTGCATGTTTACCATATTCATTCAAGAAAAAAAGAAAAAAAAAGAAAAAGAAAGAGTCTTCATCCACTCCTGTTTTACTTCTCTGTGCACCGTGCATCCTTTCAGGGTTTCTACCTCAGCGAGGTCATTGCAAACTTGCGGAGCTGAAGGCTTCAATGCAGGGCTTCCGATACCTATACCTACATAATATATAGATACTATACTATACCTATACACATACATACACTTACATATATATATATATATATATATATATATATATATATATATATATATATATATATATATATATACATATATATATATATATATATATATATATATATATATATATATATATATAGTTAGATAACAAAAAATAGAACCTTAAGTGTAAACTGCAGTCATGCAATATTGAATGTGAGAGTCCCAAAGCAAAGCCTTTACACAAGCACTTACATGTATGGGGAAAGAGTAGGGTGTTGCAATCCTGCTTCATTTTTTTTTCCACATAAAGCTGCGCACAATCAGCCCGTTTGTTTGTACGCAGAGACGGCGTGACTCTCTCTCTCTCTCTTTCTCTCTCTCTCTCTCTCTCTCTCTCTCTCTCTCTCTCTCCACCGACTGTTGTGAGTGTAAGTTATTTTTGAAACAGTGCCATGTCAAGTGAAGTGTCGTCACATGGGGAAACAGCTGAGTGTGTTTTGTGTAAAAGAAAAGCTGAGAGCTGTCATATTGCAGCAGCAGTCAGTCGTGGGGCATTGTAATGCACAGCAAAAAAAAAAAAAAAAAAAAAAAAAAGGCGATCCATCTCTTTTGCACAAACGCTTCCTTCCATTGCTGAAAAAGAAAAAAAAATAATAAAATGAAATAAAAATGCTGGTTTTGATTTGTTCTGTCACAGTGCTAGCTCACAGGAGAACGGCAAGCAGATTTGGTACAAAATGTGCTTGAAAGTCTCCAGCCACTGTACAACCAGTCTGCTCTCTGTACTGGGAGGAGTTCATCCATGTAGTAGTAAGACTCCGTACTGTACTGTACTGTAACGCTCCTTCTTCTTATTTAACACTCTCCCTACAAAGATCTTTGGAAAAAAAAAAAAAAAAAGCTGCACTGCAGTGCTACTCGAATGTCTTAGCTGTTTCTGCTGGTGCAGTGGCCATCCTTTGTGGTGCTAGTACAAGACTACCACTGTTGCGTTGTTCCCACAACACAAACTGAAGCAGAAACGCGACAAATTACGCTTTAAATGCCTCTTTTTTTTTTCTTTTTGGAAGCAGGAAGGTTGCTCTATGTAAGAAACTGTCGTTTTGTTTGAAACAGATCTTTGTACTGTACTTTCGAAGAGCATCCTCCTCAGGCAGAGTGAAAAGTCCTACTTATTACAAGCTCAAAGCAGGAAAAAAAAAAACAAACAGAGGATGTGACTCAATTTGTCTTTTCTTTGTAGATTAGGATGACGTATGTACCGAATAATATAGAATATACAAGGAAATTATATCAGCCTCAAATGCAGCTGCAAAGAAACTGTTTGCTGTCATCACATTTTTCACGAGGAAAAAAAAAAAAAGAAAATACTGATGATCTTCCTAGCAGAGAGGACACATACAGATGGTGCTATGCATTCAGTTACCCAATAAGAAGTGCAACCTGACGAGCAATAGGACAACGCATAACCTGTTCACGTTAAAGACTGTACCAGTCTGTTACCACAACTTGGTACCGACCGGGACGTTTGTCCTCAGACGTAGTGACTATTATTTTATTTAGAGAAACGCAAACAGGGCTTCACTGAAAAAAAAAAGTGAAAGGCAAAAAGAGAAATAACTAAAAGCTGCTAAATGGCTCAATCCAGTCAAACCTGCGAGGAAGAGCCAACAATGCACTCAGAGAAAAGTTCTTGAGGTTGTTTATGGTGTGAAAATGAGAGAAGGTGCCTGAACATGTGTGTGTTTGACATTATGCTTCTGTAAACCAATGTAATCAGAACTAAATGTAGCCAAATTGAACAAAGACACAAAAGAGAAAGAAAAAAAAGTGTTTTTGATGCTAACAGTTTAGAGAAAAGTAACCAACATGTACTGAAAATATTAGGAAAAAGAAGTAAAATACGTTACTCTCTGTTTTTTTTATTTTATTTTATTGTTTTTTGTGTGTGGTGGCACTGTAACATGACTGATTTAGGACAAACAAGCCTTATATATTGGAGAAAAAAAAAGAATGTGTTTCCTCCAGCAAGCCATGTTAAATAAAAATCACTGTACGATGATCACTTCCTGTACATCCGATGATGCAGACGGTTCTGAAGACACAGCTGATTTTTGTTATTCTAGTTTCAAAACGAAGAAACAAGTAAACAAACAGGAAATAAATGAAATAATTCCTGCTGTTCATGTTATTTTTGACCAAACTCTACTCCTGCTGTAATGTAGATCTACAAAAACCTACTAAATGCAAAAACATAAAAAAAACAAAACAAACAAAAACAAACTGCATGGGCGATGGAAGACTGCATGAGCTTTACCTTTCAAGCTGCGGATTAACTACGACACAGTTGCATCGTTTTTTTGGAAAAAGAAACCCTTGCTTTCATCTGCAACCAAGCTGAATCGTGAAAGCTGTTGTGATTTCTGAAAAAGCACCTTAGCGCCGGGATGGACGGAGCTTGGCGTCCGATGTGGGATTGATGTGCAGGTCGGTGCTGAATGCGAGCAAGGACAACAAGGGCTAGTTTCTTAGACTCTTTACAGCTCTACAACGTGACACATTGTCCACCGTTATTTCAGTCAGACTGTATTGTGAGTGTGTTGTGTTGGGGGGGGGAAGACATGTGAAACACACAATAATCCTCTGTTCAGATTTCAGGGCATTCTGGGTTTTAAAAAGTGTTGATGCTGGACTGCTTTTTATTTATTTATTTATTTATTTATCTGTCTATCTATCGCCTGCTGTAGAAACACTGAACCGGATGGGTTTGTTGGGGTGTTGTGTACCTTTGCTCCAGGGGTTCCTGTTTGTTTTAAGAAAGTACGACGGCTACGAATCTGTGTTTTCTGTCCCGATCGCACATTTACGCGCTCTCAAGGAGCGCAAGCGCCGAGGGACTGTCGAAGCGTTCTGCTCCTCTTTCCATCCACAAAGCAAACCAAACTCTTAACTGTGTTGTTCAATCCAGCTGTCATTGTCATGTTGTGTTTACCAAGGATTATGCTGGAATGTGTTCAGTTTTGTCAGGTGATGACAAAAGGCATGGTCTGTGATCTATGCAAGGGTTTTATGTTTCTAAGTTCCTTTGTTTCTGTTTCCGATATCACCTATGACTACATCTTCCATTAACCTAAATAAATTTTTAAGGATCAGCTCGTGTAGGCTTCGATCATTTCTGCTTGGGGCTCGGTGGGGGAAGGGGAGGAAAAATTCACTCTCAAATTCATGGATTCAGTCCGGGGTCAGAAGCCTGCATACGCTCATCATCGGCACGCAGGTCGTATTAAGTTTAACCTTTCGCTTTTGAACCGTTTCGAGCAAGTTCAAACATTCAATCTGTTGTTGGTTTTCTGTAAGGCCTTCATTTGGGGGGGAAAAAAATAGAAAGAACAAGTTTAAGGCTTGAAGTCCAAAGTTTTGTGCTGTTCTTATGTTTTATTAATTACATGCAAACATCAAAGGTTAACCTTGTTTTGCTCATTAAGCAAAAGATACAATCAGAGAAGTGTTTTCAAATTCAAGAAGCAGTCAGTTCGCCCCCAAAAGCAACTCTAAAGCTCACCTTTAGAGTTGCTCACTTCCAGCTTTGAGATGTTTGACTTGTTTTCATTTTGCACAGCAGACCCCTCAGCCTGGTGCTGCCACCGCTGCGTCTGACTATTGCTACGTTTGAAAGCCTCACACCCACGCCTGAGATCAAATCATGATCTCTCTCTATCTCCTTTAAAACTTGTTTGATAAAGGCTGATGTTTCTGTGGGCAGCTGCAAGTTTCAGCTGCACTTGCAGGTGTTAAATTTGAAAAGAAGAAGAAGAAAAAAAAACGCTTCTCTCCTGGTTTGCACCTTCTCTTTCTCTCTGTGGATGTATGGAAAGCGGTTGTGGTGTTTCAGTATTTTCTGATTCTTCCTCATAGCTCCACAACATCCCGACAAACTTCTATCATCCAAGTTTAAGAGTCTGGGTCTGACCTTTGACACATTTGGGTGTCATCACAGTGTGTTGAAACAGGTAAAGCAGGTTTCTAATTGACGAAAGCTTGTTGTGTGATTACATGACCATTAATATGACCTCGGAGCTGATGATGAGTGAATGGAAACTTCAGGTCGCCGCCACGTTGTACGTTCTGGTCTCTCTGCGCGAAGCCATAGCAGCAGAAACATGCTGCAGTTCTGCAGAAGTGTCGGTGTCCCTCTACTACAGTTCTCTCTCCTAGGAGCCATTAGCGATGATTGATGTGACTAAGCTAATAGTTTCACTCTAATCGTCCCGTCCCAGGAGGGGATCACTTGCCTCTGTCACCTCTTGCAAGTCGACTCACACCTCTGACGCCTTCAGAGCTTCTGCCTCTGGCCTGGTGGAGTAAAAATGATTAAAAACAACAACAACAAAAACAAAGAATAGCATCATTTAGCTCAGGTGGCAACGTTGTGACAACAGATGCACAGAAAGTAGCAAGGAAAATTGGGGTTGATTGTAACTGATATTGCAATATTCTGTAAAGGTATTGCAATGAAATGCTATCCTCATATCTGACAGCCCTAATAGCAATGCATTTCTACATTATTATTGTTATTATTATTATTATTATTATTATTATTATACAAAAAACAAACAGGAAATACAAATGACAAAGTATTCACTTAGCTGTAGTTTCTTTCGGTTGCATTACATTCACTCTCTTTCTGGTGTCAGGCTAACAGCTTGTCACAGCCTTCATCTAATTATTTAAACCAAATAATTATGTTGCTATTTGTTGGACACGGTGCTGTAATTATGACGGTAGCGTCTATCTCAGGACTTAATGACTTCATTTCCAAACACCTGTAACACCAGAAATAGCCCAGCAACAAATGTTTAATGTTTTAAGTCAAATGTCATTAAAATTCAAACGTTTCTTCCGGTTCTTGTGAACGTCGATTGAAATGATTGACAGCTGGTGCAGTTGGCAACTTTGACTTGTTCAACTCAAGCACAGAACCAGATTGCTCGG